CCCCCCCCCCCCCCCCCCAACCCCAAACGAACATATGACGTTTCTCGTGGAAAAAATCGATATGTGAGGCTTCCCTACTCAACTTAATATAGAAGGCAATTTGTATGGCGTTTACGAAGAAAATAACTCGCGACACTAAAGCAAATCTCTTGACTCGTCAGAGCTCTTTATTTAAACGAGAAAGACGAGGAGATAGCCCACGTGTTATCGCCAATCGCTTGACTTGCCAGCGAGCTTTATGCAATAGAAGAGAAAGGCAAGGAGATAGCCCACGTGTTATCGTCAATCGCTTGACTTGCCAGCGAGCTTTACGCAATAGAAGAGAAAGGCAAGGAGATAGCCCACGTGTTATCGTCAATCGCTTGACTTGCCAGCGAGCTTTACGCAATAGAAGAGAAAGGCAAGGAGATAGCCCACGTGTTATCGCCAATCGCTTGACTTGCCAGCGAGCTTTATGCAATGGAAGAAAAAGGCAAGGAGGTAGCCAGCGTGTCACCGTCACAGACTGGTGTAAATAGCGAGCAACATTTGACATTTGATATAGTTAATATTAAGTTCTGTTATGGTTTATATAGACATTTAAGTGATGACATTTTTGAGTGACATTATAGGCGTTAGTTGTATCAGTATTTTGTAAGAGAGACACGCGAGAGTAAAGAGACGGTTTAAAGGACGGATACACAGTAAAAACAAATTGGTTAAAATGACCAATTTAAATTGGTTGCAACCAATTTAAATTGGTCATTTTAACCAATTGAAGAATAGGTTAGTCTGACATGACCAATTAAATATTGGTCATTTCGACCAATACTAATTGGTTGAATTTTTAACCAATTTAAAATGGTAAATTTAACCAATTTCTTTTGATCAGTCAATGTTGAATTTCCCAAAATAACCAATAAAAATTGGTCATATCCGCAACCAATTTAAAATTGGTCATATGCATAACCAATTTAAATTGGTCATCTCTATAACCAATTTTAAATTGGTCGAATCCATAACCAATTTTTAATTGG